CCAACTATGTTAACAAAACTACTTTTATTGTCGATAAGGTCTAAATTTGTACTCTCACACTCAATCTTGCAGAGGCTATTTTATACTTCATAGAATTTTTGAAATTACATAATTATATCTCTATCCTACATATTTTGTTCTCTATATTTGTTTTTTTTTTAATAATTCGATTCATGTATTAAAAAAAGATGTAATCATGTAGATACCGTGACCTTCTTGAACATAATAATAAATTTCTCGATATTGAAAGAAGCAAATAAGAATCTATTATTTTCAAATAAAGAACTAAAAACAAATTACAATACAAACACTATTAAACCACTAAAGATGGTTGATAATCCATACTTTTTCTTAAGCACATAACATCATTTTTTCATGAAATTGCAGTGAAAAAATGAACTTAAATTAAACGAAAGAAGAAAAAAAGGGGAAGTGGGCCGCTTATAATTTTATATACAGTAGACCAGAATAATGGCCAAAATATGCTTTCTGGAAAAGGCTTCTTCTTCTGGCTTTACAGCATCTTCTCCTTCCCCTTTAAGAGGCCTTCTTTGGGCGGTAGCGTTTGGCGCACACAATGTACACCAGCAAATTCAAGAAGCTGAGTCCAGCCAACAGCCAGAAGAAGAAATCCAAATGGCCCTCATTCAAGTTATCTGGAATCCATCCAACCTCCCCATTTCTTGTTGTCAAGTAAGTTACAATGGTTAGAATGAAGGAGCTGAGGTAATTCCCCAAGGCAGTGGTCAACAGAGACAGTGCACTGCACAAACTTCTCATCGCATCTGGAGATTGGTCGTAGAAAAACTCCAGCTGCCCAATGAAAGTGAATACTTCTGCTGCACCCAGCAAGAAATATTGTGGTATTTGCCATAGTATGCTCAGTGGTACAGCCTCTGCTTTATCTACCAAATCGAGTTCTTTTGCAAGATCCAGTCGTCTGATCTCTACAAAGGCTGCAGCTGACATGCAAAGAATCGATACGAACAGACCGATCCCCATCCGCTGCACTTCTGAGAATCCCCTCTCCTTTCCTGTAAGTKTCCTTGCAATTGGGACTATGAATCTATCATACACGGGAACCCAGAAAATAACGCTTACTACATCGAAGGTGGAGAGAGAGGCTGGAGGAATGCGGAAAGAACCGATGGTCTTGTCCATCATCGTCCCCTGCTCCACGAATAATGTGGACATTTGGGCGTATACTGCAGAAAAGACGATTCCAGTTGCCCATATTGGGAACATGCGGATAAGAATCTTAAATTCCTCGACCTGTGTTACGGTGCAAAGCTTCCATGGATCGGAGAAGTCGCCACTTTTCAATTCAGCATCTGAGATGACAGCAGCTTTATCAAGGCATCTGCAGCACAAATAAAGGTTGGGCCAAATTTCTTCAGTGAATAGCTAATATAGCAGTCAGTGAAGTTAAGAAGAATGATAGAAATAACTTAATGAGTTTTTATGCACGTATAACCACTAATTAAAACTTCATTTAATTGCGGACTAACAAAATGATGCTATTTCTTACAAATAAAGGTATAAACAGACCGTAACTAATTAAATTTCAGTGACCATGGTGCAATAGTAAGGTTGTTAACTACCCAACCAGATTTCCACATGATTAGAATAGAACAGGTTCAAATGTGCATATAATCTTACATGATTCTATCATAGGTACATGCCTCTGCATGTAACAACTATACACCAAACTGATTCAAGCTGAAAATCTACTAAAGAACTAATTACTGCTATCACAATTATCATTTGAGAGATCCCACTAACATAATATCAGAACTTTCTTGAGAACTGGGGAGGAGGAAAATTTGGTCCTCCGCTATGCATGCTAATACATAAATGTTGATAGAAAACCAACGCTTTACTGCATCAGTTAATCCATCATAAGGAATCTTGACGTGAATAAAAGCCTTCCCCACCAGAATAAGATGCTAATCTAATAGAGGAATAAGACTAATATTTTGTTAAGCGGCTAATGATTATATCTCTAGTAAGGAAGAAAGTTACTTCAGTTCATCACTGTGTTCCAGCTTACGGCTTCCTTCAATGGCAGAACTTTTGTCTTGCACCTCATACAGAAGATTACTATCGCTGGGAACCTTTATGTTTCTTTTATGGAACGATGCAACCAAAACCTGGCACATTCTTGTAATTGGGCTGCCTCCCGGTCTCTGAAATCTGTAGAGCCTTGTGCCGGAAAAGAAACTTACAATAGCAAGGCCCATAAATAATGCAGGGATGCCAAACCCTAGACCCCACCCAGCATTGTCTTGTATCCAAACCAGGAAACTACTTGATATAAGAGCACCAATATTGATAGAGAAGTAAAACCAGTTGAAAAAAGAGCCCTTTTTAACCCTTTCAGTAGGATCAGTATCATCAAACTGATCTGCTCCAAAGGATGAAACACATGGTTTGATTCCACCTGTCCCAAGGGCAATCAAATACAGACCCGAAAAAAATACAATATACTGAGCAGAAGAAGCTGGGGGGCACATCAACCCAACACATTCGGCAGGCTTTAGAGCAGGAACCGATGCAGAGAGAGTCAATGTACACATTCCCTGTAAAGAAAAAAATGCATTTTAAGTTGCACTCTTCAAACAAAATATTTAGATTAGCATGCAGGTAGAAAAAACTGGTGCATGCTATGCAACAAAATAGAGTAAATTTGGTCCACAACTGACCTCCCTAAGTTTAATACATGTAGGATTTGGAAAGAAAAAGAAACATGAGAATACGATCATAATTCAAAAGAACTTTTTGAGAAAATGTATAAGGAAAGAACATCATGACACTAATCACTAAAGAACATAATGACACTAATCACTACAATCTGCGAAAGCAAACAAATATACAGAAATACTAACAATCTTATCTATGCTGGGGAAGGGAGGAGGGGGTATCCACTTCAGATTAAACATACAATGAAGTACACTGTTGAAAAAGCAGCAATTGTCCAATATCTTCCCCAGTAAGCATCTGCCGAGATAGCTCCAATAAGAGGTGCAAGATAACAAGTTCCTTGCCAAGTAGTGACATTTCTAGCAGCTGATACATTTCCTTGATGTAGTTTCTTTGTAAGATAAGTGACAAGATTAGTTGAAATCCCATAGTAGGCCAACCGTTCACAGCATTCATTCCCTGTATATTCCAAATAAGGGGCTTGAAATGTCAAGTAAAGAATAAAATAAATAAATAAATAAAAACTCAATATTTGAACTTCACATGAATTGAAAACAAGAAAGGAGGGGAAAAAACGTTTAGAAAAATGTACTGCACTTGCATCTCCAAAGGGGAAGAAACACAAAATCTTTAGAGGAAGAATGATGCTAGATTACTATATCTTGAATGTTGAAGTTTAAATAGATAAGTCCAAGTTGATTCACTAATTTATGCTAATTTTACCAAAGCACAAAAAGTCACCTAGAATGAAGGGGCATGCTTTCCAGTTTCCAGTATTTTGCTTGAGAACAGGTTTCCCATGGAAGTCAACTGAGCCATCACCCGTGTAGAGTCCATTGCTTTCATTCTACAGAGTGAAACCAAAATTTAAGTATCCATAGGAGTTGAACCCGCAGCATAGGATAGATAACATGTCCACCCTTACATGTTCCATGAGTACGAAAATTTTAACATGTTACGTGTAATATGACGTCTTAAGAGCAAAGTGTAACTAAAATACCTTTATAATACATATGAAATAATATCTATACTTTATGCATGTTGATCATAAAGTTGACAAGATATTGGCTAAGAGTTACTATGAATCCAACTGCTATGTATACTTGAACAATTCGCATCCCATGGGTTCATTAGGATCTCACCAATGAGAGCAACCGAGATTATCTGTTGCAAATCGATCTCAGGGAAAGATAAATCCTCCCATAATCATGCTAATTTAAGGAAGCCTTCATCCAAGAGGGAAGAAGGAGGAGCAGGGGGAAAACACATGGTCATCAGAATTCACACACCCCAATTCCAGATCAATTAAACACTTCAACATTATCAAGACTCGGCTGTATATAACCAAATAAAAGGCTTCAACTTCAACAATACACATCATATAAGAAGAAGACTGATCCCAAAATTATACGAACATGAATTTCAGACTCAATAATCCAATCGGAATTGACAATGAAATTTTCCCTTAATAAGCGTCGGTAAGATCATAAAGTGCTTATATTAACACAAACAATTAAATCGCWCCATGTTTTTTCCCCGAATATATTCAAAATATTCGTCTAAAA